GATGGACCATCACAAAGGGGAAGCATGTACTGTGGTCAGAAATGCACTTCAAAAAGCGACAACGAAGGCAAACAACCCGAAACACTTCATCACTTAGTGTCTTCAGTCCCCGCACATCTTATAAGTGTCGTGAATCGTAATGCCTAAATGGGATATGCTGTACTGGTCCAACTTTTTTTTGAAATGTGAGCAAGAACCAATATTAGAATACGTGTTTAACGCGTTATTTAATTGATTGGTTAAAATGATAACTTCCCCAGCCCTAATCATATTCAGCAAACTAAAATAAACCAGTAAAAGTCCCCTTGCTCCACTTGTGTCTGAATACTGTGAAATTATACCATTTCTAATGGGTTTCTCTTGCTTCAGTCAACAACTCATTGCCCTCCAACCTGAGTGAAAATCAATTTTATGTCGGACGCAGTGTGTGCACTTTGGTGTAATAGCGGCGTGTGTTAGGGGGTCCAGACTGCTCGCTGTTCCTTAATGTCACCGTAATAGAGTGTCTGAAGTGTGTAACCTCGTAACAATGACCCCGCTGTAATCTGACACAGCGCTGCCTCTTTTTTCCATCCTAATTTATTCTTCCACCATCCTCCAGCTCACCGTACACACACATCGCCAAAACAAAGCGTGTTTATTTCCGCACTAATGGATGCGCTATCATCACAGCAGCAAACCAATCTGCCTCTCAAAAGCCCCGGCCTTAACTCCCCCGTAATGGAATACAGTGTTTAATGGATGCACTGAATCCGACATGCAAAATCCACTGAGCAGGAGCTGAATCCTGAATAGGTGTGGATGTGTAAAGTTGCCAGATTGTGATTTTATGATCTTGATATCTAGATGGAAGTCATGGGGTTTTGGTAAATGGCAAAATTCTCCTGAAGTGGTTTAACAGGTCAATATCCAACGCTAAAAATTGGCCCTAATATAATGTGGTGGGATTTGACTATTTGGAAGGGTCGAGAATAATAATGAGCTCAGACACAAACACACGCAGTGTAATTTACTCCAGGGTCCCCGCAGGGTCTTAAAAAGTATTTTAAAGTCTTAAATTAAAAAAATCGTAATTTATGGCTTTAAAAAGTCTTAAATTTGCTGTTCTGGGTCTTAAATATTTTTTGCACAGGTCTTATTTTTGCGATGTCCATGTAACGCTACATCTAATGCTCATTATAATTCTTTTTGTTGTTGTTGCTAGGTTTTTGGGGTGTTGTAGTTCATTATTTCACTAGTCCAATTGTAATTTGCGGTATTACAACTACAAAAAAGTCAACTTGCAATAGCCAATCAGCTTTCTGATATTAAACTTCGAAATGACGTCATCGCTGTGTTTGCGGAAGTTCGCTTTGAGTGCGCGCGACTTGATTTCGGCTGGCAGAGTATGGCGTTATTTCACTGACAAATGTCGCAAGCGCAGTTTTATAAGTCGGGAGCGCTTTAATACGAGAGAGCGAATCTCTGCTCACGCGCCAGTTTCCTTTGTTCGTGGACAAAACTGCTTGCGAGCTATTAAAACACTGGCTGCTCACGTGCGAATGATCTGCTCTCGCTCCGTCGGACTCCTTTCGTGCTTTTCCAGAGATGCTTGTCGATTAAAGTGGTAGAGAGGTTTATTTTAGCCAGAAGGAGTGAGTGAGCTATCTTTATCCCACCAGAGTAACCTAGTTTGGGCAGTTGCGTTGTGGATAAAATCTAGGTTAAATTCTACTTATACTCAACAAATGTCGCCGACAGAGATGTGTTAAGAGTTGTATTTTGTAGGTTGAAATCAGAGATAGAAATATCCACCTGTGCATGACATGACACGATGCATAAATGTGCAGTAAACACATATATACCAAGCAGTTTACATGTGTTTGCTGCCTCGTTACAAAAAGACATGGCACAATATGCACTAGCATCACGGCGTCATGTCTTACGTTTTGCATCACAGCACCTGCAAGACCTGGGAAATTTACAGGGCGAGAGAAAAGTGCATGGGAAGAAACAGGAGAGGGAAAAGGGAACAGTTCTCCAAGCACGCTGCCTCTTGCACCTAAACCAGCTTAGAGAAACTCATTCACGGTGCCTGTCAACAGAATTAGCCACCCCTCAGCCACTCAGTGGCTTTAGACTGCCCCACCCACCCACAACGGTTCCTCTGGCTCACAGGCACCCGGCTGTATGCCCCTCGGTCCCTTTTGCTCTCTCACCTACCCATCGTGGCGGCTTGCAGCAAGGTTTTGGTATCCGGCAGACAGTGGCAACTTCCTTGCCTTTTTTTTTCAACTGTGTTAAGCCCCCTGTCTCCTGCTTCTACTCATCCCTATGGACAACAGCATGTCTCCGTGTCTGGGGTGACTCTATCTTCCCCTCACAGACAGCAGCCGACCAGGTTGTGGTGGCGGCAAGTCCCCTCCTCCTGGCAAGCTCTTCCAATGCTGGCCTTGAGTGTCTATGGTGGCAGACTCTGCTCCAGTGAGGGCTCTCCTTCCCTCTTGGTTTTGGCACCACTGTAATGAAGTTGATGGTCATCTAGTTATTGGGGGAAAAGGGGTTCCTCATGGAGGCTCCCACCAAACTGAAAGCAAATGTAAAACAAAGTGTCCGAGCCTGGTCCTCTCTCATCTCCCACTGCTGTCTCTCCTCATATTATTATCTAGAGCTCCTCCATGGGACTCAAGGCTGGTGTGGGATAAAGGTGCTGTCAGTTATCACTTACACCAATGGTCCTCCATCACTGGGCCACAAACCGGCACCGGTCCATGGATCAATTTGTACCGCAACACACAAGAAATCATTAATTATTTCTGTATTATTTATTATCTGAGTCCGAACGATCTTCTATTTTGAAAAATGACCATGTTCTCTTGGTGACATCTCGGGACACTTGAGCACCTAAATTTAACCCACTCAGCAGCAAAATGAGTAAGAAACAGACATCTTTGGAAAGTTTCTTTGCTAAGGGGAAAAGGCCCAGTGAAGAACCAACAAACTGCTAAGGAATGGATCCGCAACCCCTATTTGTCAACATATCAGGTGAATCCAGCAAGCCTGTGCAAGAAGATCAACTGTTGGAGATCGTAAATGACGGCGACCTTTCAGGAGCCTTTCGCATATGTCAGCTTTTCTAGAGTTTGTGCAAGTTTGTTATGTCCAAAGGAAGTGTGCGGCTTGCGCGCGCAAGTGTCGTGATACGTTCGCGCCTTCCAGGCTCACCCAGTTGAATGAAAGCTGCGAGCGTTATTAGGGGAGACAGAGAGAGGAGAGAGGGAAAACAAAATAAAAATGGAGGATCAGTTCTTCAAACACGCTGCCTCTTGGACCTAAACTAGCTGAGAGATCCTCACATGTAGTGCTTGTCAACAGCACTAGCCACCCCTCGGTAAACAGTGTTGCCGGAGTGAGAGGTTTCCCACCCAATTTGTGTGGTTTTGAATTTGATTTTGCGGGTAAAAAATGACAGGGGGGTAGTGAAAATTTGGGCGGTTTTGCACTGGTGTGCCCCGTCAGCCCCGATCTTCACTTATAAGCCTACAAGCGCAAATCTTCCAAGGACACGACGCCATCGTTAAAGGGCCATGAAAAACCCCTCGTTTCAGCAGGGTGTTTTCACATCTCTACTTTGGAAAAAGTCTGAAAAGTTTAGGGAGGAGTGTCAGAGGAAGAAAAGAGGCTTGGTGTGGGAGTGTCTATTTGGGCGCGCTGAATTTCAGAGTCAAAACACACACCCACAGCGGACAAAGTGACTGTGTTTACGTGGACATCTGTAGTCGAATTATTTGCCAAATTATTAAATGGTGGACTTTAACTGCAGTTTGGCTCTTTCATTCAGGGAATTCATTCATGTCCCTCGCGACAAACGAGATATTTGATTGGAGGATCTGCTCTAAGCGTGTATTTTTCATGCAATGTTTGATACCGCACGGCGAATGAGAGAAAAAAAACCTCTGCATTTCCTGGAAACTTCGATGTAAATGCACTCAGCAGGTAGCGTCAGAAAGCCGCGTGTTTTATTCCGGTCACTAAATTCGGTGAAAACCCTACACGAGGTTAAAGTTTGGTTGTGGTGCTAACATGTTTACACTCGGTGCAATAGTTAACTTAGTTCGATACGAAAAAACTGAATAAACAAAGAGCACTGGTCGCTCACTTACCAAATCTGTAAAGACAGGACAATCACCAGCAACTAGAGCCGCGTCTGTATTAAGAGGAGACTAAAGCGAATCCAGATCTCAGCGTTTGCAGATGAGAACAGCTCTCAGGTAAACAATAATCCTCCTTAGACACGTAAGTTATTGTTGTCGAGCGTCGCGTACACTGTTAATCCACACGTGACTCCAGCTGAGCTCTCACAGAGAGAAAATGAAAACAAAACTGAACTGCAGCAAACTATAAAAGCAACACTTCACGCTTGTTTTGCCAACACAACGTGGCGTCTCTGCCGTCTAAACACTGTGACAGTAATGAATATTAATGAAGTTGCACAATAGAGTGCGCTGATTGGTTTGAACCAAGCTTTACTCATGCATTAATGCATCACACTGTAAGACGCAATAAGACACACTCTGGCACAGACGTCCAGTCTGCACGCTGGAATACACGCTATTATGTCATGACCGTGACGCAGCTTCGAAAATTCGTTTCAAACCGGAAGTACGAATTTGCTTGAAATAACGCAAAAACAACCAATTTACACTTTTTAGTGAAATATAGGTGTCCTAATAGTGTTTACAGCAGTGTGGGACACATATACCACTGTCAACAGCTCAACACATGTGTTTTGGTGTTTCGTGACCCTTTAAGCAAAAGTATCGTTAGCTTGTTAGAAGTGGCAGCACGCAAGAAAAACAATACAGTTAAACTGCAATACATTAAACAGCTAAAGATTAAAAAACAGAAGTGCAGGTACTATGTGTACAGCCCACTTTGAGGACTGGACACAGCAACGCTGAAGGGCTTCTCTTTGAGTGGGTTTTAATTTAAAAGTAATTTGTCTTACGTTATCTTTCTAGGTCATGCGAGCCCTGTATGCTGGACCCTGGCTGTGGTTACTGTTATCAGGAAAACAGCACTGCTGTGTTCGCCTCCTCCTGTGTTCCCGTCAATCCGGCCTCCACTGAGAGAGCAGCGTGGGGCAAGTGAGTCACCACTGAAGCTCAGACTTGTGCACTTCTGCTCTTCTCCCTTTATTTGGCCATTTGTTGGGTTATTCATTCTACAGTGCAGTACACTACTGAGTTTACCTGTTCAGGCTAGACCAGTCTGTATTAACACAGTGATTTTACAGTAGATATTGATTGCTAAAGTATAGTCCTCGATGGACGGGCTGTAAAAGTGAACCATTTTTCATTTGTATACCTCATGTGATTCACAGTCTCTCTTGTAATCCTAACAGATGCTCTAATTCCACACATCTGCCAGACAGTGGTATATGGGCTTATAACTTCTGTCCAACTTCTTATTCATGGGTTGTGCTTTTGGGACTTGTGCTCTACCTTGCGTCTTTTGCCCCAGGTAAGATGATCGCTACTGTTTTTAAACGAACCCAGCGATGGTGTATTTTCAGTTTCCGCAGTTATGAATGACAATTAAGTAAATGAGAGTGTTGATTTAGAGCAGTGTTTCTCAACCATGTTCCTGGAGGACCAACAACACTGCAGGTTTCGGATGTCTCCTTTGTCTGCCACATCCACTACAGGTCCGTCAGTCTCGGCTAATTAACTGATGACCTGAATCAGGTGTGTTTGGTTAAGGAGACATAAAATATGTGCAGAGCTGGTGGTCCTCCAGGAACGTGGTTGAGAAACACTGATTCAGGGTTTCTGTGGTTCTTAAAATTTAAGCAGTTCTCTAGTTTAAGTTATCCTTTATTATTTAATATCCTTGATTACTTCTTTGGTTTTCCAATGTTAATCTGCTAAGAAATTAAACTACTTTGAGTTCATGTATAAAACTATGTCAGTAGAGTATGCAAATGACTTTTCTGTCATAAACAAGTCGATTTTTGTCAACATCTAACCCTAACCTTAACACTATAATGCTCTTGACCTAGTTGCATTAATTTAAACACACCCTTAATATCATACCTGCCAGCACTTTACCTGGGAGTCTCCTGTATTTCAGACCCATCTCCCGCCACCCTCCCGTTTTAATAATAATAATTAATAATAATTCCTTACATTTATATAGCGCTTTTCTGGGCACTCAAATCGCTTTACACACAATGAAGGGAATCTCCTCATCCACCACCAGTGTGCAGCATCCACCTGGATGCCATTTTGCGCCAGATCGCACACCATACACCAGCTGATTGGTGGAGAGGAGACAGCGATGAAGCCAATTGGAATATGGGGATGGTTAGGAGGCCATGATGGACAGAGGCCAGTGGGCAGATTTGGCCAGGATGCCGGGGTTAAACCCCTACTCTTTTCGAAGGACATCCTGGGATTTTTAACGACCACAGAGAGTCGGGACCTCGGTTAAATGTCTCATCCGAAAGACAGTGTTCACTGAGCAGTATAGCGTCCCCGTCACTATACTGGGGCATTAGGACCCACACAGACCGCAGGTTGGGCGCCCCCTGCTGGCCTCACTAACACCACTTCCGACAGCAACCTAGCTTTCCCATGTGGTCTCCCATCCAGGTACTGACTGGGCGCAGCCCTGCTTAGCTTCAATGGGCGACCATGTAAGAGTTGCAGAGAGCTAGCTGCCGGTTTTGTTATTTCTCTCAGAAAACTCCCGTAATTTCAACCCCATTCCTGGTCCTCAGCATTTTGGTGTAGTCTGTGTAACCCCTGGGGTCGCCAACTTTAGTATAGGATCCGATCGCAGCGCCTGCCTGAAACACGCTTCATAGCACAGTTACTAACACCAGAGGAAACAGTACCCGGTTCTCAACAGTCAACAGTGTTATTCAGACACCTCACCCCCACACCTAACAGGGACAAATGTTGGCAGGTACGCATAATATGGTATTAATATAGCCTAGTTATTTTCTTTAAAGGTCAACTCAATGGTACCTCTTTAAAATGATCATTGAGCGACGTAACAGAGTCTGAGTAGATTTTTGTCAACACCTAATCCAATAATACTCTTTATCTGGTGACATTGATTTAAACATGGCTTTAATATAGTCTCTTTATTTTCTTTAAAGGTCAACTCAATGTTGCCTATTTAAAATGATCAACAAAAACCGTAACAGAGAAGATCTTAATTGGTCCTCTTTTAAGAATAAAAAGTGCTGATTGCCTCACAAACCCACCAGAACTGTTTTGTTTTCTAAATAAAACATGTCTGAGGGAATTGTAACATCTTTTTACCTCCTGACAGGAATGGGCCCAATGCCATGGACGGTTAATTCCGAAATCTACCCTCTTTGGGCTAGAAGCACAGGCAACGCCTGTTCGGCCGGAGTGAACTGGACTTTCAATGTGCTGGTGTCCCTGACGTTCCTCCACATGGCCCAGTACCTCACTTACTACGGTAATACTCTAATTAGTGGATCGACTGCCGTCGTGAGCGTGACCTTTTTGTCAGCATCAATACGGCATTTGATCTCTCGACATCAAGAGTTTGCTCCACATAAAGGCATTGTAAAGCTAATTACTTGCATGACTCAGTATTTCTCTGAACGTCAACACGTCTCTCTGAACGCAGACCTTCATATGCGCATGATTCGTCAATGCATGCTATCCAAAGATGTTTTTTAGGACAAATTATTCACATGTAGAAGATTGCTTTGTGTCTTAAACATTTTCTCTAGGCCACTGGATTATTACAGAAATATAGTTCATAAATATTGGGACATCGATACAATTCTAACATTTTTGGCTCTATACACCAACACAATGGAATTTAAAAGAAACAAACAAGATGTGCTTTAACTGCAGACTGTCTGCTTTAATTTGAGGGTATTTACATCCAAATCAGGTGAACGCTGTAGGAATTAAGAGCTTGCATTTCTGCCTCTCACTTGTTAAGGGACCAAAAGTAATTGAACAGAATAATAATCATAAATCAAACTTTCACTTTTTGTGAATACTTGGTTTGCAGTTCAGTTACAGCCTGAAGTCTGGAACTCGTAGACGCTGGGTTTCATGCCTGGTGGTGCTCTCCCAAGCCTCTAAAGCAGTGGTCACCAAACTTGTTCCTGGATGGCCGGTGTCCTGCAAATTTTAGCTCCAACCCTAATCAAACACACCTGAACAAGCTAATCAAGGTCTTAATATGTATACTTAAAACATCCAGGCAGGTGTGTTGAAGCAAGTTGGAGCTAAACCCTGCAGGGACACCGGCCCTCCAGGACCGAGATTGGTGACCCCTGCTCTAAAGCAACTGTCTTCAGTTCCTGCTTGTTCTTGGGGCATTTTCCCTTCAGTTTTGTCTTCAGCGAATGAAATGCATGCTCAATCGGATTCAGGTCAGGTGATCGACTCGGCCATTGCATAACATTTCACTTCTTTCCCTTCAAAAACTCTCTGGTTGCTTTTGCAGTATGCTTTGGGTCATTCTCCACCTGCACTGTGAAGCGCTGTCCAACAAGTTCTGAAGCATTTGGCTGAATATGAGCAGAAAATGTTGCCTGAAACACTTCAGAACTCATCCTGCTGCTTTAGTCAGCACCACATCATCAACAAACAAAAGAGAACCAGTTCCACTGACAGCCATACATGCTTACACCATGACACTACCACCACCATGCTTCACTGCTCTTTCCTTCTCCATCACTCTTTCCATCACTCTGGTACAAGTTGATCTTGATCTGTTCGTAGAATGTTGTTCCAGCGCTGTGAAAGCTTTTTCAGAACTCTCATCTGGCCTTCCTGTTTTTGAGGCTCTCCAATGGTTTACATCTTGTGGTGAACCCTCTGTATTCGCTCTGGTGTGGTCTTCTCTTGATTGTTGACTGACACACATACACCTGCCTCCTGGAGAGTGTTCTTGATCTGGCCAACTGTTGTGAAGGGTGTTTTCTTCACCAGGGAAAGAGTTCTTCAGCCTTCCACACCAGTTGTTTCCGTGGTCTTCCGGGTCTTTTGGTGTTGCTGAGCTCAATGGTGCACACAGTTCCACGCCTAATGTTTTTGCCATCTCTCTGATGGGTTTGTTCTGTTTTTTCAGCCTAATGATGGCCTGCTTGACTGATAGTGACAGCTCGTTGGATCTCATCTTGAGAGATGACGGTTCCAGATTCCAAATCCAAACAGCACACTTGAAATAAACTCTGGACCCTTTATCTGCTCATTGTAAATTGGGATAATGAGGGAATAACACACACTTGCACATGGAACAGCTTAGAAGCCAACTGTCCGATTACTTTTGGACCCTTAACAAGTGGGAGGCACATTTGCAAACTTGTAATTCCTACAGCGTTCACCTGATTTGGATGTTAATGCCCTCAAACTAAAGCTGACGGTTTCATTTCAAGTCCATCGTGCTGGTGTATAGAGCCAAAAATGTTAGAATTGTGTCCCAATATTTATGGGCCTAACTGTATATATTACTAAGGGCTTTAGGGCTGTCGATTTAAAGGGGACCTATCATGCAAAAATCAGTTTTAAAAGAGGTGTAATCACAATTGTGTGGAAATACAGCCATTGTTATTAACATCTAATAATCAATAACTATGTGGTTTTCCAGGCGTATTCTTCCTCTACACCAGTTTGGCTTTCACAGGCTTCTTTTTCATCTACGGTTGCCTCCCTGAGACTAAAGGACGGCGACTAGAAGAGATCGAATCCTTGTTTGAAAACCGACTCTGCTCGTGCGGCATCTCGGATTGTGACGAGGACCGGCAGGTGGAATACATCCGGGTAAAAGGCTCAAACTACCACCTATCGGACAATGACGCGTCTGATGTTGAGTAACTGGTGTGAAACCTGGGGTCTGGTAAACGGGGATGAGAAGGCATCGACTGCGCCTCGCTCGATCCCGACGTCAGGTTGGCTCACTGTATCGGTCAGATCGAGCCTCTCTCATCCAGACGTTCACCGCGATGGCAAGAACAGGGTTGTAGAGCACACACAAACAAACACGCAGTGCCAAGTCAGCTTTTATAATGTTGTGAGTGTGCTCATTCCTCCACCGGCAGATGAAAACACACTCGTCATTCGTGTAAAATGTGTTTAGCTGTAAATGCAGTAATATATATGCAGCAGGATATTACTGTTTTTTTCTTTCTTTGTCATGTTAAAGCACAAACAAAAAGCTCAAGTTAAATTTTAAAATAAGACTCGCATTTAAAAAAAAGATAAGCTATGTTACCAGTCAACAATTTCGGCGCTGGTATTCTTTTTAATGAACCCTTTTCAAAGACTAAGATGAGGCGATTTTATATTGATTAACATTATACATTGAGCAGACTATTTTCCGCACTATTATAGATTTTATTTTTTTAACGGTATTTCTTCGTTCAAATTTGCAAATGTTCTAAGAGGCCTTGCATTATTACATTCTTCTTTACTGTTTTTTATTTACGTAATTCTCTCTTGATCTTGACATATTGTTTACAGTGTTTTACGAGTCCTTTTCTCATTATCTTGACATAACAAAAGTTGTTTTTTTGGAGTTAACAACTTATTTTTTTTCGGCTGACTTTGGAAGAAGAGGATGTTCTAGATTAGAAGCAGATTATATCGCATTAGCTTATGCAGGGACTCACTTTCGTAAAGTATTTGAAAATAAGAATGCATCCAACCATTATTACGTTACAGCTACAGTTGCAAACTCTGTATTTTGTTATATAATAAGTGTTGCCTACTAGACGGAGTGTCCATATAAACAAATAAGAGCAGAGCAACTTTGGATGTGTCGAGATCACAAGAAAATTAAGTTGTGATTACAAGAAAACAAATTGATCAAGAAAACGAAAAAAAAATTTGAGATTGCGTGAAAATAAGTTACGCTGACATCACTGGAAAATAAAAGTTGCGATAATGTAAAAAAATAAATGATGTTGAAATCATAAAACAATGTCACGATCATGTAAAATCGAGTTATGCCAAGCTCGAGTTATGCCGAGATCATGAGAATATAAAAGTCGTGATCACGCAAAAACTAGTTATGTTGAGATCACGAGAAAAAAATTTGCGATGACACAAAAACTAGTTATGTCAAGATCGTGATCGTCAAAGTCGTGATTACAAGAAAACAAATTTGTCAAGATCACGAGGGAAAAATGTTGCGCTTACACGTAAACAAGTTATGTTGAGTTCACATGAAAATAAAAGTCACGATTATGTGGAAACAAGTTATGTTGATATCATGAGAAAAAACTTTGTCGAACATGTGAAAACTAGTAACGTCAAGATCACAAGAAAATAATAATCACGATTACGCAAAAACAAGTCATGTCGAAATCACGAGAAAACAAGTTATTTCAAGATCATGAAAATATGAAAGTTATATAACGTGCAAACAAATTATGTCTGTCGTGTTCACGGAAAAATAAGTTGCGTCAAGATAATGAGAAAATAAAAGTTGCGATTTTGTGAAAGAGTTATGTCAAGATCCCGAAAATAGAAGTCACAATTACGCAAAAAACAGTTATGTCGAGATGATGAAAATATAAAAGTTGTGATTACATGAAAACAAATTATGTCAGTCGCGTTCACGGAAAAATAAGTTATGTCAAGTTTATAAGAAAATAAAATTCGCGAAAACGCGAAATTAAGTTATGTTGAGATCATGAAAATAAAAGTTGTGATCACGTGAAAACGAGATATGTCAAGATTACAAGAAAATAAAAGTCACGATCACGCAAAAACCAATTTTGTCGAGATCAGAATATAAAAGTCGTGATCACGTGAAAACGTATTTTGTTATGATAATGTGTGATCACGTGAATACGAGTGATGTCGAGATCACGAGAAAATAAAGTCGCAATCATGGAAAATAAAGTTATGTCAAGATCATGAGAAAATAAAGGTCGTGATCACGAGAAAACAAAAGAGAAAAAATGATTTAATACATGGCCTCTTAGGAATTCCGTACCATTCATACCTACATAAGTTTATTCTGGAAAGAGTCCATTGAAATGTTCCCCTTCTAGTCATCAAAACAAATATTCAAATGTCCTTTTAATGGATGTCTGGGAATTATGTAAAGGTTAAAAGTACCTCAACAAGTAACTATTTTTGTGCCGGGCATTCAAGTGTGTCTCGATTTTTGACTAGTAGTCCATAAATCAATCGAATTGCGTAACATAACGCGAGTCCCTGAATATGAACAAATGATAAATCTATAGTTATTAACCTCACGTCCCCCGGCCTCAATTAAAACCTTCCACACTCTGAAACGTGTGGCATATTGCATTGCCTTGTAATATGCGACCTGCCTTTCACCGTCTGGTTTTTGAACAGTTTATTTTGTAAAGAACCGTCATGTTTGTAGGATTAGAGATCATTGACACAACACGTCTAATGTAGCTTTCTGCGGTTTCCTGTGATAGTGTAGTGTGGCCTTATAAAATATTTCACTAATGTATGTATTTATTTATTTATTCATGTTGCAACCTTGTTTAATTTGAAATATTTTATTTATATGTAATTTAATGTTTACATTTTTAAATATTTTCTTTGTTTTTAATAATATATTTTACTATAATTTTAAGTTGTCTTCCTTATAGCCTAGTGTTTTATTGGTCTTGTCTGAGGAAAAAATGTAGGCTATCTGTTTTGACGAGTGCAGTGTTATATCCGATGTTCTGTTGTGCTAAGTATTCAGTTAGACAAATGCACACGACAGCGTGCCAAACTGACCTGGAAAATCTGTGTTGTGGTTGTAGCTTTCTTGAAAACCAAGCTGAAGTAACCCAATAACGTGTCGGCTCAACTTCCTGTATAAAGGGTTCAGTGATGCATAATCGTGCGCATCAGGCCTTGTGTATTGTGCGTTTTGTTCAGATACTTAGTTACGTGTGTCCAAACTTGATTTGGTTGAACAAAGTACAAATGAAATCGGCACAATGTTTGGCATTTTAGCTCAGTTTGATCTTAAAGGAGTAGTTCACCCAAAAAAAATTGTCGTTTACTCACCCTCATACTGTTACAAATCCCTTTATTTATTTATTGGTAATTATAATATTCTGTGGAATATAAAATTGTTTTCATATAATCAAACCACAAAGGTACATAATAGTCTAATAATATAATTCATTGATTTTCATCCGCTTTTTTGGGGCCGGGTCACGGGGGGCAGCAGTCTTAGGAGAGAACCCTCCCCAGACACTTCCTCCAGCTCCTCCGGGGGGATCCAGAGGCGTTCCCAGACCAGCCGAGAGACATAGTCCCTCCAGTGTGTCCTGGGTCTTCCTCGATACCTCCTCCCGGTGGGACATGCCTGGAACACCTCCCTAGGTAGGCGTCCAGGAGGCATCCGAAACAGATGTCCAAGCAACCTTAGCTGACTTCTCTGGATGTGGAGGAGCAGCGGCTCTACTCCCAGCTCCTCCTGGGTGTCAGAGCTCCTCACCCTATCCATAAGAGTGCGCCCTGCCACCCTGTGAAGGAAACTCATTTCAGCTGCTTGTATCTGAGATCTTGTCCTTTCAGTCATGACCCAAAGCTCATAACCATAGGTGAGAGTAGGAATGTAGACTGACCAGTAAATCCAGAGCTTTGCCTTTCAGCTCAGCTCCTTCTTCACCACAACGGACCGGTACATCGACCGCATTACTGCTGCCGCTGCACTGATTGGTCCATCAATCTCACGCACCATCCTTCCCTCACTTGTGAACAAAACCCCAAGATACTTGATCTCCTCCACCTGGGCTAAATATTTCCTCCAACCTGGAGATGGCAAACCACCTTTTTTCCGGTGGAGCACCATGGCCTCGGACTTGGAGGTGCTGATTCTCATCCCAGCCATCTCACACTTGGCACAGGGTTCATACACATTTTTTCTACAAAAATTCCATGACTTTTTCAGGACTTTCACGTCAATTTTCATGACCTAATGTTTCATGTAATGACACCATGTTTTTGGCCAAGATAAGAAAAGTAAAAACTACTAACCTCCATTCCAATATACAGACAGTCAAACTAATTTTAGATGATGTTAATAGTTTGTTAAACTAGTAATAGTAGCTAAAACTACTTCTATTATAAAGCCGTGATCACGCAGCACTTTTCCGCTCTATAGACTTTCATTCATAGGCATGCGAATGCGGCAGACCAGAAACGCAAGCAGGTGTTTCGCAATTCACTGCATTCGAAAGTTGAAGCTTAGTGAATTCTTACCTGCGAAATCACAAAAGGGGATTGCGTTAGACAGATTGAGGATCATTTGAAGTAAGAAATTTAAAATACGGAGCAATCGCTCATATTTATTAACGTCTAATGATATTGTTTAACCACGCCCCTTTTCGCAGTGCCCTATGACAAACCTCACTCCTCTGACCTCTAAAGGTGCTCTAGCAACAGACGTTAGAGGCCATGGTCTTTAGCCTCCTTGTTAGAGCAACCGACTCCCATGCGGAAGGTCACCGGTTCGATCTCAGCTCGGAGTTGGTTGGGTGGTGTAGGATCGCCAGGGTTACATTGGTGCCGTGACCCGGATGAGAGTGAGGTTTTGGGGGGTGAGTGTAACAGAGGCCAGCCAGTAAGTGCTGTGCAGGTAAACTTCACTCCTCTGACCTCTAAAGGTGCTCTAGCGACAGACGATAGAGACCATGGTCTTCAGCCTACTTGTTAGAGCATGCGGAAGGTCACCGGTTCGATCTCAGCTCGGAGTTGGTTGGGTGGTGTAGGATCGCCAGGGTTACATTGGTGCCGTGACCCGGATGAGAGTGAGGTTTAGGGTGGTGAGTGTAGCAGAGGCCAGCCAGTAAGTGCTGTGCAGGTAAACCTCACTCCTCTGACCTCTAAAGGTGCTCTAGCAACAGACGATAGAGGACATAGTCTTTAGCCTCCTTGGTGGAGCAACCGACTCCCATGCGGAAGGTCGGCGGGAATACATCTGCTAAATGACTAAATGTAAATTCCATGACTTTTCCAAAACCTAGTGGGTTTTTCTGTTTTTCCAAAAACTTTTCCAGGCCTGGAAAATTCCATGACTTTTCCAGGTATTCCATGACTGTATGAACACCTCGCCCACTGCATGCTGAAGATCCATGTCCAGTGAAGCCAACAGAACAACATCTCCTGCGAAAAACAGATGAAATCCTGTGCTCCCCGAACCGGACCCCCTCTAGCCCAAGGCTGCGCTTTGATCTACTGTCCATGAAAATTCTTAAATAAAACAGAATAGAATTCTAGAACTTGTGGGTGAACTATCTCTTTAAGAAAACAAATGTCTAACATAAAATGAACTGCGTCAAGTCGAGTCCAAGAAGTGACATAATGAAAGGTTTCAGTGGACATGTGTGATGTACTATAGAGTTTTATTGAACAGCTTCATGTGTTTGACTTCTAGATTTGTGTTGGAACAACCTGCACCATTGAACACAGTTTCTGAGTGTGTGGATGCTCTTTGTCTTTAGTTTGTTTGTATGTTTTTATTTTGTAACGTCGAACAAAATGCAGCCTTTCTACTGTTGATAGAACCTAGTGAGGACAAACGTTGTGCTGTACAGTATTTGATTACCGTTGCTGTAAATGTTTTGCTAGATTTATATTATATACGACTGAATATATGAACTTTGAAAACTTGAAGATGTACTTGGAAACAACAATAAAGATATATAGCATACAGCGCTCTGACTCTTCCTCTGCTTTAACATGTCAGCAGATTCTCCTTTCACACCTGTTTCCGCTGTGAGGTCTTCGTCTCATTTACAGATTCTGTTACGCGCCTGACGTCCTTGACAGGGTGTTGCCACACATTTTCATATCTCGGGTCGTCACACCTGGGCAGTTTGATTCTGCATTCCCATTGCTGCCTCTTTATCTGTTCTGGAGAAAAGCAAACACTAATAAACACACTGTAGACTTATAAACTAGCATTTTTCTAAAAAATGCTCATTTTACAACTACAGTTAAACAGTTGAGATTTACCATGATTGTAGCACTTTTAGCTTAGCTTAGCATAGATCATTGAATCAGATTAGACCATTAGCATCTCACTCAAAAATGATCAAAGAGTGCATGTTTTTTAACAATTTCTCTCATTTAATTCAATCCTAAAGGTAATTCCAACACCTTTTCAGACTTTTTAAAGACCTCAGAATATTTTAGGACCTCATCGTCACTTCAAGTTTTAATCAGTATCAAACCTTTAACTTAATAAACAGTCGTTGTTAAACAGCTGTAGTTAAATAAACCATGCAACACAACTTAGATGAGCTCGAAAGAAACAAAGCTTGGAGGAATAAATGAAACCAAGATTTATTTAAATATCTGACACATTTAGCTTTATTATCCCAAAAACGAACACGTACGTCGAGCCGCTTCTTGTTTGTTGACTGATTGAGAGACTCGTCGAACATTAACACAAACGAGCTGCTGCTTAAAGTAGTGTGCTCGCCCAAATCTCATGATGTAACCAGTTTTGTCTTTGCCAAAGGTGAATGTCTTAGCTGTCGTAATCCGCAAACAGCAACCTGAAAACATCTGAAATGCCTTTGAGTTCAGTGTGTGGTGATTCGTCCACGGCAAAGTGGCCAGATAACCTCCGCACGCTTTGCTGATGTACCGTCCATAGCCAAACTTTTATTCTCTCGTTTTACCGTCTGTTTTGCTCTATAATGTCACTACACGTGGAGAGGGCACATTACCTTACCGCGTTTGTCGCAAATTACAAGACATCACCCGGACGAAGGAGCTTGGCAGGTCGCGCCCCCGGCCTGAACCAAAAATGTAGATGGAGTACGTCGTTGTTAATATTAGGAGGAAAATAAACATTTTTAAGCTTTTTTGGAGTCAAACACTTTGGACGAACAAAAGTTAAGACCTCATAAAAACGGTTAACAACTTTCTAATAGCTTTTAAGAGCCTTAACTTTCTCATAATTGATTTATAAGCTTCTTTTAAAGACCCCGTGGACATCCTGTACTATAACAGGTGCTATTTAATATCAATGCATTTGCTGCAGCCATGGTACGGCAGTAAATTTCCTTGATTAATACGCCAGAATGAGAGTATAGCTCTCAACACATCGTCCTAGACCAGGGGTTTTCAAAGTGTGAGGCGCGCCTCCCCTGGGGGGCGCCAGAGCATGTCAGGGGAGGCGTGGGAAAAAACATCATATAATAAAAATATAATTATTAAGTTTAATTATTATATGTATTTTTTATTATATTTAAACGTTTTAATTAAACAAAGCAAAAAAAATACTACGTCAAATATAAGAAAACCTTTTTTACCCAGAAGGCCATAGCTGTGAATTCGCTTCTGTTTGGCAAGCCCGCCAATACAGGTATATGCCTGCTAATACAATGGGTCGGTTTCTGAGACCCCACCCCAGATCCTCACGGAGACTGCCGTCAAACTGAAAGCAAAAGTAAAATATGTCCAGGCCCGTTCCTCTCTCGGCTTCCTCTGCCCTCGTTCCTCCTTTTATGCTCCAGAGCTCCTTCCGTGGGATCTGAGGCAGGTGCGCACCACAGGTGTATCCACTTACGCGGTGGCCTCACTCCGTTCCCACGGCTCTCCGCCACGCCCCCTCGCCACAAAAGCCTTCAAGTTCAGGGCTTAAACCCAAAAGACAACGATATGATGATCAGTATTTGAGTTTAGGATTTACGTTGACAGGGCCAGCTGATGAACCACGACCTTTTTCTACGACCAAACCTGTATGGTTTGTCAAAATATTTTGGCTAATGACAGCATGAGACCCGCTAAACTTCGACTGTTTTGACTGGGATGGACAGTTCTTGGATCTGTTCTATTCATATTGAACCATCATCCTAGTTTTAAAAACGTTATATTAAAATACTTGTTATTACTCTGTAAATAATTGCACTTTCATGCAAATGATGATAAAAGTGAGTTAACAGTCTGACATCTGTCTGTGTCTTTATATATACTGTATATATAAAGACATATATTTTCTATATATATATATATATGTGTGTGTGTGTGTGTGTGTGTGTGTGTGTGTGTGTGTGTGTGTTGTGTGTGTGTGTGCGTGTTTGGGAGGAGGGGGCGCCAATGGATAAGTTTTGTCAAAAGGGAGGCCCACTGTCTTAGACTTTGAAAAACCCTGGTCTAGACAATACTAACTTTCATTTTTTTGTCGGTCTTAATACATGACTACAGAAGAGTCAAGCTTTAAATAGGAAAACCATCAAAACTCGTTTTGAATTTTCGAGTGAGATGCTAATACTC